GGGGAGCAAGAACGCGCTCTCTCGCTCTACGTTTAAGAATTCGGTCAAGTTTGGGGCAATTGACCGTGTTTGGGAAGAGCTTGCATTACTTTCGGTTGCTTTAAAAGAGAAGTAAGCGTTGTTTCTTTGTACTGAGAGCCGTCTCTCGTCTGGCTCACGTTAACGTTGTGTGCGAACGTCGTTTAAACTCATTGCAGTCGAGGTTGAGTTTGTTAGAATTAGTGTTTTGTTTTATATTAATAAATTAATTAATCAATATAAACATTAGCGATTTTCATCGCTGAAAGCGTCTTTTCGCGTTGTTTTGGTTTACGAAACCAGTCACTGCACTTTTTTTTGATATTATTGAATACTTTTTTTTATTTTTCCCCGGAGCACAATAAAAATACACGTCTGCATACGGCGACGGTCTGATTTGCTCTTTCTAATCTAAAAATATTAAGTTAAGATTCTTTAAAAAATACTTAAGAACTAAGCTCTGGATCCGAAACAGTTGTATAGTTTTGTTAACACTAAGCGTAAATATAAAACCTTTTCGTCTTTGCCATCGCTTGGAAAATCTTTTGCAAGCACGGATCAGGAAATTGCTGATCTTTTTTTGTGAAGCCAGTCTTTCCGCCAGGTCCAGACGGGGTACCGGGCTGTGTGCTTAGGTACAGCTCTGCTATCCTGGCTTAACCCCTTTAAAAATTATTTAACCTTTTCCTGGAAGCGTCCACGTTTCCCGCTATCTGGAAAGAGTCCCTTCTTGTGCCTCACTTGCAGCACCGGTGTAGATCTGTCATATCTTCATGCCAGTATGGCTTTATAAAACAACGGTATACCTCTACCAATCTTCTGGAACTAACATCCTTCGTGATCACTGGTTTCCAAAATAAACTTCAGACGGATGTCATTTACACTGACTTCAGTAAAGCATTTGACTCCGTGAATCACGGCCTTCATTTAGAAAAACTCGATCTTATCGGTTTTCCTGCTGATCTCCTGGGTTGGATTAGCAGGTACCTCACAGGTAGAACGCAACGAGTTCTTTTTAAAAACTAAGTGTCTGGTTTAGTGCGCTTCTTCCGGGGTCCCTCAGGGGAGCCATCTTGGTCCGTTACTTTTTACTTTATTCATTAATGACCTTCCCTTGGTTGTTAATGACTTTTTAGTACTTATGTATGCAGACGATGTCAAACTGCAATATACCGATGCCTCCTACCAGGTGAAACTGCAATCTGACCTTAATAACTTTCAAAACTAGTGCTCTTCAAACTTATTAAATCTTAATGGCTCTAAGTGCAACGCCAGCCTCATTGGCAGGATCCACGCAAGGATGTAACAGGGCATGATGTCGGCGATTACACGTTGCGCAGCTGTAGGATGAGCAGCCGCGGGCGAAGTGTTCAGACTTGAGGTAAATGAAGCAGAGAGCAAGACGCTGGACTTCATCGTATCGTTCCTCAACTGACAAGGCAGGAACCTTGGGCAAGAAGGAACAGCATGCGCCAGGATACCGCACAGTTCACACGGAGCCGGCGGCGCATTAAGGAGCATGCACGAACGATTACTAAACGGCCTACGACGGCTTACTTGATTCGCTGGCAGATGAGAAGCTAAGGCCAATCAATAGTTTCAAGTGTACGGCACCTTTGTTCTAAAAACCGAGCCATAGATCCCCAAGTTGGCAGGCGGTCATCATATTTTCCTGTGACAGGGTCCAGCTTTTGAAAGATTATCTGGATGAGGAGGCATATGACCATTGAATCGGTCGGATAACACCTAAAGAGTTGCATCGGATCCTGACTCGACTACCCTTAGCTGCAGGATCTCGTAAATGGGAGCCTGGAATAATAATCGTCGATTACTAAAACGGTTGCGCAAAAGATCAGGGGCAAAATAATAATTCGCGTCAGTAATCTCCAACGCTCTCACAGTCTCCAAGGCTGACTCCCGCTTACATGAAATGAGCCACCGGAGCTTCTCCATCTTGGTCAAGTGAGGATGGCTGTCAATCGTCGTTTTAAACAGGGCGCAGAAATACAGCCACTCGGCATAGCCACCGCTGAATGTTGGTATCGGCAACGGGGGCAATGCTACAATCCAATAGCGTAGAGTGGGCAGCAACTCTACTGGAGCGGTTGGCAACTTCCACCTGGATGTCGACGTGAACGTCCGTGACTAGCTGAGAGAATTTCTAATACAAATCACTTCCAATTTTTATATGATTTAGCTCCTCCAATTCCTCCTGAAGCGCGACGAATCGATCACGCAGAAACTTTTCCATGGGCTCGACGGTCTGATGGTTGAGTCTTCGGTCCGCATCGCAGCCTTTACCTTCTGATGTAGGACCCTAATTTCTTGACAAGTAACCTCTGCTCGTCATCGCAACATCCTTTCCCTGCTTGCAGCAGCAGATCCAGCGACTTCAACTCCGGACTCCATTATGTAATTTAAGTGCACGGTTATTATTAACAAAAACAACAACATTTCCGTGTCACTTTTGTACTGATCACAATAATCAAAACGCGCTGTGATCACGTCGGGGTCACCAAAATGTGGAGCAAAAAACTCTTATTTAATTGCTTATTATTATTATTATTTTAATTATTATTATTATTATTATTATTAAATTTTTTTTAATTCTTATAGTTATAATTTTATAGAAAGCTGGCTGAATGTGCTGTCCAAAATGCTATATAGAAAGCTAACTGGTTATGAGTGGTATATATTTCCTAAGATATTGGGAATGTCGTTGGAGTTGTAAGTAATGGAATGTGAGAAGAAGGCATCATTAATGTATTCCGATTGTATGGTCTCCAGAATGTAAAATGGAGTTTACATTTTGAAAACACTGCTAGTGTAAAAACTAAGTTTGTAAACGTACATTTTAAGACTCTTTCTTTAAAGGTGCGTCCACTGATGCCACTGTTTCGGCACTTGTTTGAACAATAATGTTTATGCGACTGTGGCGAGAAAAGAGAAATATATAATTAAAATTCGTTACTTCAGCTGAGGTCCCTTAACAGTTTACGTTAAGGGAAAGGAGCATCTGTTCAGCCTGAAGTGAATCTATTTTCTTGTAGAGGAAGTATCTTTTATGCCATGCTATTTGCGTCTCCAAATGTAAAATCATTATGAATATGCCCCTGTTAATGAATTAGATCTACTTGCCGTCTATTCAAGAAATAGTGGCAAACCGAAAAACCAAAAATGCGAAAATCTCGGGAACTTTAAGAGCTAGAAAGTAGTTAAGAATGCGTATTTAAAAGATGCCACTGCAACTTGCCCCTAGTTCTCATCCGGCCACGCTCACTCTAACGCCCACAAACTGCGATAAACTGACTTTGTATAACATATTTTTACCAAAGATTTTGCAAATCGGAACATTATTTCTATTTATGAAGAAATTTAGGTTATAAGGCCTCACATGGGCAGTGACGTCACTATCAATTACTCAACATGCTTTCTCCGACAATAGGTGGCGCTATCGGAATTTCCACTAGCAAAATGAATATTTTAAAATTGTTGAAAACAACTCTCGACTATAGCGTTTCCTCTTGTTAACTATAAATTTATACAGGGTGACAATAAATAACCCGGACACACATTTTTGATCAGAATTTTTTAAGGAACTGTATTTGAAAAAAAATGCAGATACACAACTATTAAATAGGTATTGCGTTAACATATATTCAGGCGGTTTCGAAGTGGCTTCTTTGGGCTGCGATGCAGAGCCCTAAACGTTTCTGGAAATTAAGCGTAATGGGCCGCAGGTCTTCTTCCGATAATCGATCCCTTTTTTGGAGCAATGATTGCTTCAGCGCCTCCAAACTTATGTGGCGTTTAGCACGTGCCCTGGACTCCAAAATAGACCACACACTGTAGTCCATCGGATTAAGATCTGGCGAGTAAGGTTGCCATTCACTGGATGTGATAAAGTCCGGAAAATTGGCTTTGCACCAGTCCTTAGTCTTTTTCTATGGGCTGGCACTGAATCCTGTTGAAACATCCACTCTGTATCACCGAAGTGCTGCTGGGCCCAAGGAAGCACAAAAGTTTCCAAAATGTCCCGGCGGTACACTTCCTGATTGATTTTGACCCCTTGATCGATGAAAACAAGGGGTGTTTTGCCGGTGGCGCATATTCCTCCCCAAACCATTAAAGACTGCTCACATTGACGGCGCTCGATTATTGCAGAGGTACCTGAAGCTGCAGCCGACCAGCTTCTGTCATTTTGGTGATTGTGCGCCTGTTGGATGGTGAATATCTTCTCGTCCGTAAAGAGAATACGCTCCCATTTTTGAACTGCGGCCCGACGCTTTAGCTGACGGCATCTTTGGAGTCTCACGCTTATTGTCATCCGTAAGAAGATGCACTTTTTGGAGCTTGTAGGGCTTGAGATTAAGTTCATTTTTTGCAATCAACCGAATACTTTCTCGATTCACTCCGATTTCTCGGGCTATTTTTCTGACCGAGACTCTGCAATTCCGAATGATCCGCTTTTTCAATTGCACAACGATTGTTTTGGTATGCCAAGCAAACGAACAATGTTGCATTGAATGATTTCCTTGTTGAAACAGTTTTAAAATTGCACAACGATTGTTTTGGTATGCCAAGCAAACGAACAATGTTGCATTGAATGATTTCCTTGTTGAAACAGTTTTAAAGTTGCACAACGATTGTTTTGGTATGCCAAGCAAACGAACAATGTTGCATTGAATGATTTCCTTGTTGAAACAGTTTTAAAATTGCACAACGATTGTTAGGTATCCCGAAACAAATATCAAATTGGTGGAAATCACAAAAATGTAAATATATTTGTTTCAGTAAAGTACAAGCTATCGATAAATGCATTTATTTAAGGGCGGCATCATAACACATTTATAATAGATTGCTTCAAAGTTTGTCCGGGTTATTTATTGTCACCCTGTATATGTTTACAAACACTTTAGTAGACCTTACCTATATTCCTCTTACTTTCACTTATAGTTAAATTACAATTTATTTATTTTCAGTGCTCTGTACAACATAATGTAGAGTTTGACGCCATTCAAAAATGTTTTGACAGTAAACAAGGCCTGGATTTGCTAAAGCTAAACGGAGATGCCACTCAATCTTTAAGGCCTTCTGTAAAATTTATTCCAACAATCACAATAGATGGGTTCCAAGGTAGACAAGCTGCCATTTTAAAAGACTTGTTTTCTGAGGTGTGCAGGGCAGCTGGTGATTCAGAGGAAGCGAAGAATATATGCAAAACAATAAACTATTACTAACAAATCATTTAATATTTTTCATATACACAACAATTTGGTAAGATTAGGTGGAAATTTTATTGCATGAGCATTTTATAAAAACCAGAAGAAACTTTATAGTCGAGTGCCGCAACTATAAGGTACCCGTAACTGTTTCATAAAATTTTAAAATATCTCTTTTACTAGTGGAAATTGGAACAGCATGCTCCAGGATACCGCACAGGACACACGGAGCCGGCGCATTAAGGAGCATGCACGAACAATTACTACGAGTAAACGGCCTACGTCGGCTTACTTGATTCGCTGGCAGTGTACGGCACCTTTGTTCTAAAAACCGAGCCATAGATCCCCAAGTTGGCAGGCGGTCATCATATTTTCCTGTGACAGGGTCCAGCTTTTGAAAGATGATCTGGATGAGGAGGCATATGACCATTGAATCGGTCGGATAACACCTAAAGAGTTGCATCGGATCCTGACTCGACTACCCTTAGCTGTAGGATCTCGTTAATGTGAGCCTGGAATATTAATCGTCGATTACTAAAACGGTTGCGCAAAAGATAAGGGGCAAAATAATAATTCGCGTCAGTAATCTCCAACGCTCTCACAGTCTCCAAGGCTGACTCCCGCTTACATGAAATGAGCCACCGGAGCTTCTCCATCTTGGTCAAGTGAGGATGGCTGTCAATCGTCGTTTTAAACAGGGCGCAGAAATACAGCCACTCGGCATAGCCACCGCTGAATGTTGGTATCGGCAACGGGGGCAATGCTACAATCCAATAGCGTAGAGTGGGCAGCAACTCTACTGGAGCGGTTGGCAACTTCCATCTGGATGTCGACGTGAACGTCCGTGACTAGCTGAGAGAATTTCTAATACAAATCACTTCCAATTTTTATATGATTTAGCTCCTCCAATTCCTCCTGAAGCGCGACGAATCGATCACGCAGAAACTTTTCCATGGACTCGACGGTCTGATGGTTGAGTCTTCGGTCCGCATCGCAGCCTTTACCTTCTGATGTAGGACCCTAATTTCTTAACAAGTAACCTCTGCTCGTCTTCGCAACATCCTTTCCCTGCTTGCAGCAGCAGATCCAGCGACTTCAACTCCGGACTCCATTATGTAATTTAAGTGCACGGTTATTATTAACAAAAACAACAACATTTCCGTGTCACTTTTGTACTGATCACAATAATCAAAACGCGCTGTGATCACGTCGGGGTCACCAAAATGTGGAGCAAAAAACTCTTATTAAATTGCTTATTATTATTATTATTTTAATTATTATTATTATATTTTTTTTTAATTCTTATAGTTATAATTTTATAGAAAGCTGGCTGAATGTGCTGTCCAAAATGCTATATAGAAAGCTAACTGAGTGGTATATATTTCCTAAGATATTGGGAATGTCGTTGGAGTTGTAAGTAATGGAATGTGATAAGAGGGTATCATTAATGTATTCCGATTGTATGGTCTCCAGCATGTAAAATGGAGTTTTTTTTTTCGCGCAACTACCGTTGCTTGACGTGCATCCCACCTCCCGCCCAACCGACCGAGGGGCGCTGCCGTCTGACGTACGGCTCGGAACACGGGGATAGATCAGAGTGGATTAGGAAAGATACGAGGAAAGTTAGTTTTGTGCTAAATGGATTAGTATCGAAACTTTCAAAGTGCTGGGAGAAGAGTTAGAAGTAATTTTATAAAGATCATTGTAGTTTGAACATAGAACCCGAAATGGTTCATGTTGGGCAAAGTTCGAACTAAAATGCTATAAGGATAGAGGAATATAGTTTCTAGAAATCCTAAGGGGTACATGGATATTCAGGCGGCCTAGAAGGGCCTGGCTATCAATTTCACCCTTAAGAAGATTGTTTATAAAGATTAGCCCAAGCATCGAGCCACCATATAATACACGAAACAGTCATTGCTATTAGTTCTTAAGTATTTTTTAAATAATCTTAATTTGATATTTTTTAGAATAGAAAGGTGCCTTGTATACCAAGGGGGTTTATCCGCCATAGCCGGATACCACAACGGAACAAAGCGATCAAAAATTAGGTTTAATGTACTATAAAATATATCTAGAGTAGTCGACATATCGGTGCATGCGTACAAATCGGACCAGTCAAATTCTGAAATAAAGTTATTAATTTTTTTAAAGTCGGCTTTACGAAAACATCGAATTTTCTTATCAGCGTAATTGTTCTTAGGCTTAGTGCATAGCCCCGTATCGATCGTAAGATCTAATGTTGGATGATAAGGATCTTCAGGGAGTGTGAGAGGTGGAGCTCTGTAAATGGATACGGCGTCCGTATCGGAGAGAAAGCACAGATCGAGCAAACGACCTAAACAATTCCCTATATGATTAATTTGAGCCAGTGACATGTCTAACATGCCCGCAGTAAAGTCGTGATGCGACGTAGGTGTTAAAGCTAAGGTGTTATCGTTCATGGTCCAAGCCACCTGGGGTAGGTTAAAATCACCCAACACCACCAGCTGATCCATGTCCGATAACATTGAGAAGACAGACTGAATGGCTGCTAGGTGCCGCTCATATGTCAAGGAATCGGACTTAGGCGGAATATAAGAGCAAGTGATGTATAACTTTAACCTAGACAATGAGATTTTAACTGTAATAAATTCTAAGTCTCCAGTTTGAAGATTTATCACCTCGGAAACGAGATTAGAGTCCACTGAAATTAAGACTCCACCACCATTTCCGAGGGATCGGTCAAGCCTATATATTGTGTACCTACTGGGGAAAACTTCAGAATTAAGAATTTCTGGAGTAAGCCAGGTTTCGGTAAACACAATGACCTGGGATGCAAACGAGAAGCTTACCGAAAACAAATTAGAAAGTTTAGAACGTAAGCCTCTTGTGTTCTGGTACGTAAGAATAAAGGATGATGTTAGTTTTTTAGGTTGGCAGGAGCGTTTACTTGTGGAAGCTTTACTCCTAAAGGGCGACTTTTTTTCTTTTTTTTATTCTTAAGCTGATGTTCTTGAACGAAAATATGTTGCGGCCAGAAATTGGTCGAACAGATATCATCAAAAGCCATCGGAGGAACACGGATCTTGAAAGATGCCACGTTCCTAGCGTAGGAATATTTATATTTAGTAATATTTTCCACTCTAATATCGACTTTAAGTTTTGCTTGAATGTAAGCTAAGATGTCCGATTCGAACGTATCAGGGGAAAGCCGGGAAACAAAAATGTGTTTTCCAAGAGAAATATCAATCAAGGGCTTTGGCGGGGCGGGTGGTTTACCCACGCCACCAGTGGGGCAGGTAAGTTCCTCGGGTGAGTCAAGGGTAAATTCTTTTGGGCTTGTAGAACATTTGGCACGGGAGGGTCCAATGCGACTACCTCGGACTGCTCATCTGACAAATGCCTGCGCACCTTAGCAAAATTTTCGGGATCGGAAATATGGGCTGTTACCGGTGTCGTCTCGATTGGAGTGGTGGACAGCAGCGGTGACAATGAAGGAGACTGTTGAACATCAGACGGAGGGAGAAGGGAGTTATTTGCATTACTGGCGGTAACCGCCGGCGGCAAACGGGTCGTTCTTTTTCGCTTAGGAGACTCATTCAACAGTTGTAAATTGTTGAATTGAGTGTCCAGCGCAGAAAACAGGTCGTTAGCTTTGCGAAAAGCAACCAATACCTGACCGAACCCATTTTTAGTCTGCCGCATAAACGATCTAATTTCCTTCTGGGCCTCACGACATGTTTCACAACAGTAGTGTAAGCCGGAGTCGGAACGACCCAAAGCATCCGGAATGGTGGCTGGCTTAAACCCTGCACACTTGGAGTACCCAATGTTATCACACAGCCAGCAGTGGACGCTTACTTGGTCAACCGACACAATTTTTTTTGCATTTTTTAATGCAACAGATAATATCGGACATTTTGGCAAATAATTAATTATATGTAAACCAATGTGCCAGAAAAATATTATAGGGAAGAAAGGGAGTTTGAGAGAAACAGTTAGGGGCAAGAGAGTGAGCGAGAGAGTGTTAGCGAGAGCTACGAGGCGTTATAAGAGAGTACAAGTTGTATAAGAGAGAGAGAGTGTGTTTTCGAGAGCTACAAGCCGGTGGGAGATACAGAAAAGAGATCTACAGATGTTGTGCTGGAGCGGTAAGCAGTTCTGTTACTAATAGCACACAGTAAAGTAAAAATATGTTAGAATACAGACCACAATTGTTGATATTTGCTTGCATTAAATGCTTTATGCAAACAGATAACAATAAATGCACTGCACGACGCGGAATCGAAGACAGATTTTTGAATAAACGTTTGCAAAAAGTAGCAAAAACGAGGTGATTCGGGAATAAATTCAAAGTTTAAATTGCTCGAGAACACGCAAAAACCAAAAACACAACCGTTTGCTTGTATCATCTTCTGGATGATATGGCCAGGGATCCTACCCGTGGCGAGATCGATAGCAAGCGTCTGTGGGAGGAGAACGAGGACCTGAAGAACCGTCCAGACAAGAAAACTAAGGAGTGCAGCACAGCACTGCATGTACGAGTTGCGTTTCAATGAGCTGAGCAAGTTCAACCTGGCCAATGCCGATCAGAAGAAGATTACTGATCAGAGCCTGCATGAAGAGCTGTCATTCAAGGATCAGATCCACTCACAGGAGATCAAAGAGTCGCCTCAGCTTCGAGTATGATGCAAAGTTGATACAGAAATACCAGGACCTCATGGACCTCAAGGTCTCACTGGATTTGGAAATCGGTACCTACTTCCCCGATTTAATTATTCTAAAGCAATTAAAAACTCTTAGTTGCTCAACAATAATAATACCAAGAGGGAACGCTATAGTCCAGTGTCGCGACTATAAGATACTGTTTTACACAATTTTAAAATATTCATTTTTCTAGTGGAAATTCACAAGGTAGTGAGGTCACTGCCCATGTGAGGCGAAATATTATTCCGATTAAAAAATCTTTGGTAAATAGATAGATATTAACAGAAATAAGTTACACAAGGTCAAACGAAGGCATTCATAATAATAACAGTGGGC